AAGAGTTTTCCTATTAATGGAGAAAGCCCGGAAAGCAATGAAAGCTCAGGAAGAAAAGCAGATCAGACCGGCCAGGACCCACATGGGGTACCTTCAAAGCAGAGCTAAGTGCCAAGGGGAGTAGAATTAAAGGCCAAAGAACCCTGCTAAACTGTCTTAGGGATAAAACAAGGCACTCAGAGATCTGCCCAGAGAAGATTTCACGTTTATCATATGCCCAAGGGAGCTTTTGCCCTATCCATGCTGGTCCTCTCCAGCTGAAGTCTGCTAGCCAGCTGGCGGGCAAGCACACTGCTTCTGGGCTGCAGCATCCTCAGGCATGGCCACCATTTGCAGAATAGGGCAGATCTATCAGAAGCAATGGCTGTAACTAAACTTGAATTAACTGGGGTTCCTCTGGTCGGTCTTTGGCCTGTACCTGTAATTCCTGACTCCTACCTACAGGCTGAACCTTCCCACAGCTCCACCTCTGGCTGGTCAACAAGCAAGGTGTCCTCCTCAAGGGAGGCTGTCAGCCCACGGCTACGTGTTCCATCAGCAAGGAGAGAGTATCAAGGTTAAGAAAGCACCTTTCAGCTCATTTTTTTTTTTTCCAAAATGTAATTCAACACAGCTGAATGGCTCTGCTGGCAAGGAGAGGGTCCTCCCCTGCCTCAGAGCTTGCCAAGTTACAACACCTGCACATGAGGGGCAGCCCTGAGGTTCATTGCTCTACAGGGAGCAATTTTCGAGAGGAATTAAGCTCTCAACAAGGCAACTGCTGCTGTGCCGTCAGACTCCCACTCTGCCCCTCCACCTGCCCTTTAAAACAAGAGGGTTGCTGCAGGAGCTGGGCTCACACCTTGACTGTCTTCACCCTCTACATGGAAAAACTGGAAGGGCTCCTGGGTCTTTCCCCTGCCACTAGCCACGAATTTTAACATTTTGCAAGTTGCAAACAGGACATGATTAAAAATATGGGACTGAACCAGTGTAAGAAGGAACAGAAATTATAAAAGCAAACCAACAAAAGAATGGTTACTATTCTCACTCAGTTTTTGGAACACCAAATCTACAATGTAGGGCCGTCAGAGGCTCTCCATGTATGAGCAACACTCTTGCAGTGAGACAGCAGCATCCCTTCATGCAGTTGTGCCCTTGGATCTCTAAGCTCTTTTCTATGTCTTTACTAATCCCTGTAGAGAACCGATGCTACTTTTTTTGCACTATGTACACAGTGTGAAATACGGCCCAGTCTTTCATAGAAGATCGATATGATGCACGATAAATACTGTTATTGATCTTGCAGTGTTGTACACGACTCTCCAGCTCTATGGCATATTAATAGTAGTTAACCAGTAATTCATTTCAGGACGGCTGGGATTTTCTTTTAAGGAAGGTGAGTTCTTGGGGTCAGTTACACATATGGGTCTTATACATTCAGTAACCTATGAGGGGCTCCTGTCTTCACTTAGCAGA